AGGTGGGCAGTGGACAGACAGGAGGGGAGGGGGAGATCACCTACATCTTGTTCTGGATGATTCGGGACATGACTACTGTTCTCTCTTTGGATCAGAAGATGCTGACATAGTCCAAAGCCAGAGGGAAACAGACGGGCTGGGAAATTCACACTGTGGACAACCGGACCACGCTTAGGAATCTTGCCCCAGACCTGGCGCGGGTACTTTACCACCAACGCCAGGATTGGGCCCATATTTAAAGAATCTCCTCTGACCTGCTATCCTGACCCCAGATAGGGATGGGAAGCTCACTAACCATGCTCTAGGGGCAGGATTTATTATTTTTTTAATTGTTTTAAATGCTTATTCTTGAGAGAGAGACAGAGACAGAGCATGAGCAGGGGAGGACTTGGATGTCAGCTGGTGGGAAGATCTCTAGATCCCCCAGCCAGTGCCAGGATATATTCACCAAGGCCATAAAGGCCTTTGATGATGAAGACGGTGATGGCATTAGCCTGGGGCAGAGTGAGGCTGCCACAGCTGGGGCTCAAGTAATCCCTCCCCCATGTGTGGCCCAAGGCAAGTCTCCTGGTCACCAACCCCAGGGGAGAGAGTCAGTCACATATGGGTGTCAACCCGCCTGAGAGCCCATTAGAGCCATTAAAAAAGGGTACTCACGGGCACTCTGGGTGCCTGGGGCTGCTGAAAGCGTCCCACTCTCAGCTCAGGTCATGATCTCATGTCCGCGGAGTTCGAGTTCGCCGGGCTCTGTGCTGACAGCTCAGAGCCTGAGCCTGCTCGATTCTGTGTCTCCTCTCTCTGCTCCCAGCTGCTCGGCCACTCTCTCACTCCTCAAAATGAACACTAAAAAAATTTTTTTTGGGCACAAAATAGGTAACATGTACTATAATGAGGTTCTGAGTCAAGTGGAGAAAAGTCAGGGTCAAACCTAGCCCTATGACCTGAGCCAGCCACACTCTCAGGGCTTCAGGGTCTCACCATAAAAGTAGGGAGTGCATTCTCCTAGTTCAGTTCTGGGTTAAACTGGTCAACTAGGGAGGGGACCCGTGAAGTTGGTCTATGTCCAGGAAAATAATTATTTTAGAATTAGGTTTAATTAGCTGATTAAAGCGCATTTGTTCCTGCTCTGATTCACTGCTCACTCCTGCTGACGCCCCCGGTTTGCAGTGGACAGGCATCAGTCCCGGGCGGCAGAAATCCTGGTCAGTAGCTACCCACCCCACCCCCCAGGGCTGCTGGGACAAGGAGGCAGGTGGGCCCATGGACTTCCAGCTCTGTACCAAGTGAGAGGAGGGTGGCCGTGTCTGCGGGTACATTTGCTTCCCAGTGGTCAGGTCTATTGTCCTGCCCTCACATTACAGTCTTCCAAAAATTTTTTTTTGAGGACGCCTGGGTGGCCTAGTCGGTTAAGCATCTGACTTGGCTCAGGTCATGATCCTAAAACCCGTGAGTTCGAGCCTGTCGGCCTCGTATGGACAGCTCGGATCCTGGAGCCTGGGATTCTCTGTTGTCTCCCCTCTCTCTGCCCCTCCCCGCTTCTGCTCTCTGTCCTCAATTCCTTCTCAAATATAACATAAAACATAAAAAATTTTTTTTCAAGTTTTTTTTTTTTTTACATTGGCCCCTCTATGAAAATGTAAAATTTCCAGAAAGGAGCCATATTGTTATTGATGATTCACTGCTTCACATGAATGAGTTTAGCAGATCTGTGCAGGAGGAGATCTCATGACAAGGCCTCAGTAGGAGCCTGGGTATGTGGGGCGGGTGGTGGCAATACAGGGCGGGTTGGAGGACAGTCTGACACAGGGGCTCACAGGTGGGCAGTGGACAGGAGGGGAGATCACCCACATCTTGTTCTGATGATTCGACATTGCCTCTCTTTGGATCAGAAGATGCTGACATAGTCCAAAGCCGAGTGGAAACAGACGGCTGGGAAATTCACACCAGGACAACCGGACCACGCTAGAATCTGTTCCCAGACCTGGCGCCGGTACTTACCACCAACGCCCAGGATTGGGGCCCATATTTAAAGAATCTCCTCTGACCTGCTATCCTGACCCCAGATAGGGATGGCTCACTAACCATGCTCTAGGGGCAGGATTTATTATTTTTTTAATTGTTTTAAATGCTTATTCTTGAGAGAGAGACAGAGACAGAGCATGAGCAGGGGAGGGGCAGAGAGAGAGGGAGACACAGAATCCGAAGCGGGCTCCAGGCTCCGAGCTGTCAGCACAGAGCCCGACGCGGGGCCCGAACCCACGAACTGTGGGACCATGACCTGAACTGAAGTCAGATGCTTAATCCACTGAGCCACCCAGGCGCCCCTATAGGGGCAGGATTTAAAGCAGCCCCTCCAAAAAAAAAAAAAAA